CATGCTGCACTATCATTCCAAACGAACGGCTTACTTCGTCATGAATAAATTCAGCGAATCCCGAGATTTTTATTCTCTCACCGGGCACCAGCCTTAATTCCTGAAACAGGCCTCAAAAATGGTACCTAAATATAGGGTGATGAGGTTTTGATACGGCACGATATCGGGGCCGCTGACTATGTAATCGCTCAAGTTCCGCTGCAAAAGGTGAAGTCTCACGCGAGAAAATCGCTCCCAAAGATAGGCGTGGCGGTGGTCGCTCCGCCCACCAATGGCTGGTCTTGGGTACAAGTTGAACGAAGTGTTCAAAGAGGTCGAAAGTTTGTTGATCATAATAAGGAGCTGATTCTCGACGATTTTGGACACTTTCCGCCCAGTTTTGGGCTTGTATCTGTGGGCCACCCACCTTAGTGGGCGGAGCGACCACTGCCGCTTCTACCTTCTGGAGCAGTTTTCTCATGTCTGACTTCATCATCTGCGGAGAGACTTGGATGATCACTCAGAGGCCTGCTATTGTACGTATTGCACAACCCAAAACCGCCCTCAGTCTGTGGTTGCGGAGCAAAGTTTTTATAGTACCCAGTACAGTAGTAAGTACATATAATTTCCTATTCTGAAGTTTACTTCATCCTTTTTAGGCTTTGGCTTCATCACATTCGACAACGACGAAGTGTCCGACAAAGTCTGTGAGATACATTTTCATGAGATCAACGGAAAAATGGTTGAATGCAAGAAAGCGCAGCCAAAGGAGGTTTGTTGCATGCCCGTTGATTGTACTTTTTCATGAAGAAATTTTAAAAAAATTTCCGGTGATTTTTTTATCGCACTTAATATATTTCCGTCCTCACATTTTTTGGCCCTTGGCGACTATTAGTACTTTTTCCTTCTAGGTAATGCTTCCTGTGCAATTGAACAAATCACGTGCCGCTGCTGCTCGGAATCTGTATGGACTACCACCAGAACAATTGCTTGGTAGGTTTTTCACAAAATTGACCAAGATTTTTTCATTTCTTTTCCTAGGAGTATCCTTTTTTAGCATACGCTACTTATCTACCTCGATTCGGGTACGGTAATCTGCTCTATCCCAATATGACTTCAAGTGAGTTTGTTTTCACATCAAATTGGTATTCATTTCGTTATTTCATATTAAAAATTTTTACTGGATTCATTCCGAGTTGCGTCATTTGCAACGCGGTAACAAGATATGTAATTACTAAGATTACCATTGCCTACGAGGACCACTGGTACAGAAGTTAGTGCTAAATGACGCATGAACTGTATCAAATCTTAGTATCTGCTCCATGACGGAGGCGGTCGCCCAATTAGGTTGAAAGTATGCTAGGCTGAC